GTAATTTCTGAAATTATCTCGATCGAGTCTTCATGTAATGCGTTGCTTAGTAGCAATGGCCAGTGTACGTATCTATCTATGAATACAATGAGAATCCAAATGTATGAAAAGTAAACTCAATTAATTGGAGCATCTAACATCTATACGTGTTTCATCTCTCGTCGAGAAATCGTTTGATAAAATTTTCTTTTTCACGAAGCGCCCTCGCCATCAAATCCTCAGCGCCTATACTGTCTATATTTTCTTTCCATACTTTTCTCTCTCTTTTATTCTCAGTGTAATCCAGAAATAGACGTAATAGTATATAGGTATGAAAAAAAATCTATATACGCGAGAACATTTGAGCGCGCGACGTTTGATTAAAGCAGTTATTACAGCGGAAGGCTAGGTTTTTTTCGATGAAAAACGTAACGACGCTGGGGCATTGGGGCTCGTTTCAAAGGTGTAACGAAGTTGCAAAAGCGATATTTGTCAAGCCACGTATCGCTGGCTCTAAAGCACACACTCGTGAGCGCCAGGTCGTGGACTCTTTTGATATCTCGACAATAAGCGTATCATGCTCAAATGTTCAAATACGAGTCTCTGTGTGGGACAAGTCATCGTACTTTGTGAAATTGACATTCTAATTCGCTCAAAGGCCCGGCCGCTGCAACGCTCGCTCGTGATACTTTTGTCTATATAGCTGCGCGACGAGCGGACAGCGCACGAGTCTGATCAGTGGGACGCGAGCCCTACGGCGCATGTCTTTTATATCCACGTTCGCTGCTCTTATATATTGGAATAAATGTGGCCGCACGCATGGGGCCGCGGCTACATCGATACGTTTGATAGACATCGCGATAAACAGAAATAGAGTGGTTATAAACGAGCTCGAACGAGCGAGTAGGAGACGCGTCGCTTATCGATCGCTCGGCAATAAATTTCATCAGCACAACGAGGCCGTGTCCGTGTGTTGTATATAAACCAGCAATAACATCGAGTCGAGCTAAGTAAACAAAATTTTCTGCCCGATCATCGAGCAGACCAAGTGCCAATTAATTGACAACTTGCTGCGCACGGCATTACGTCCACTTGAGATTGTTTAAAACCAGCGCTCATGGCACTACCTTCAATCGCACATTCACCTTTCACAGCAACGTGAACTTACTTGTATACTGATCGATCGAAGCTTCACATTCTTTAGCTCTAAGAAAGTTGACGATAAAAAAAAGCATATAGCGCCTACTCGGAAAAATTTCAATTTCTCAGTCACGTAGCTTGATTTCCAAAAATGTTTTCGAGCGACGCTTATATTTTAATATGGATAGTTTTAAAATTCCAATGAACATGCAACGGTGCTGCATCCATGAGATCAGATATATAACGCTGTGGAAAATCGGATAGATATATATTTACTACACGAGAAAGCCGAGAAGGAAAGTTTGACGCTTCGTATACAGCAGCGCAGCACATTACGTGGCAGAAAAACCTGCTCAACCTTAATCGAGCTAGCCGAGACAATAGACACATAAGGCCTCTTCAGGTAACACCACTATAAAATTTGAATAATATAATCCATTGGTGCTGGGGCGGAAGCAGCAGCCGAGTGACTGAGCGAACGAGGCATTAGAGCTTACATGCATACATGTGTATGCACTGTATACTATATAGGTCTAGGTGGTAGCGTGGCTTGACGTTTGTTGCGGTGTTACACTGTGTATGCGTGTATACGGCAGTATCGCTCTAACAAAGTAGTTGCGACTTTGTATGTGAGAGAGAGAGAGAGAGAGAGAGAGAGAAAGAGAAAGACGACTCGGGACAGATACTACTGTAGTGCACGCTATATATGCATGTAGCATAGCTACAGACAAGTAGATTTTCAGGAGATTGAGACCACCCGCAGACAAGTTGCTACTACCGAGAACTGAATTTCCCTATTGTCGCGGCAAAAAGCCTCGAGTACTCTTCTAAATACCACTAGCTGCACAACTGTTAAACAGCTGCCGCTACCGCTGCTGGTATCTGGCCTTTTTTTCTGCTTCACATTCGCTATTTAAATGGAGCCCAAGTATATAGTCTATTACGAATGCAGCGCCGAACGCGTGCTTATAAGCCAGACGAGTATCTGAGCTGATCGATCGTGTGCTCTTAACTTCACCATGTAACGCACTCGCCGACGTTTCAGCTATGCAAAGCCAATGTAACGACGATGCGACAACGTATCTTCGAAAATTAAGTACTGTTCGGGGAACGGTACTGTACACGCAGCCGCCTATATGTATGCATATCTGCAGTAGGCGAGTGCGTCGATTTTCGTGCCAATTTCCCCACAAGATCGGCTAGGTTTTATTTTTAAAGCCGCGACTCGTGTTATATACAAGTGCGCTTATATAATACGTATGTTTCGAAAGCGAGACTACCTGTTTGTCGTATGTCAGCAGCAACGTCTTTCGATATCGTCGCGAGTCTTCGCAGTTTAGCGATTTACGTCTGACTCGAGTCAAGTGCAATTTTTACCCAACGATTTCATCGAGCAAGAAATATCGAAACAAAATCTCGTCGGCGGATAATCGAATTATTTTTCTCGGCAAATTTAAGCTGTATATTTCGGTATCACGTTCGCGCGTACACATCGTATATCAACTAGCAGCGCCAGCAGCAGCAGATCGTTGTTTCGATTACGCGTGATTAAGCTCTCTCGATACAAACACACTCGTACACACACACACACACACACACACTAACATTAGTGTATTAAATATGGCTCCGCTATTAATATGTGTTTAACGATTGTTTCATTTACGCAGGCGCTTCTCTCCCACTGACCCGCACGTGTCATAAGGTAATTATATTTTGCAGATTTGTTATTGTACGAATTGACTCCCTATACATGCATCGCATGCATTTTCTCTCCTTTTCTCTCTCTCTTTCATATATACCTTCATTAGTGGTTTTATTTATTCGTTTGTACATTGCCCATTCACATGCCGTTCACGAATATATTAAATTATACCAAAAATTCCGTATTATTTACGCATCGGATTATCCTCTCAGTGGCGAGCGACTATTTTCACGTGGCTAACGTGTATAAATGTACGAAAGTAATTTATCACATACAGAATGTTGTTGCACGTATAATGGGACACGTAGGTAAAATTTATACAGCAGCGTCAATTAGTTATTACAAATATGTATTCTGCTCATTCATTTAGCCGCTAATTATATTTGTTGAAAAAAGTACAAAGGCGTGCGAAGAGCTTTTAATTTTCTACATGGAGCGCATAATAATTTCCTTTTATTTTTTTTATCCGCCTTTGCCTTCTCGCTCACGTGCGACGTACGATATATATATTTTTTTTAATCTTCCCTCCCTAGATCGTTTCAATATGTCATACAAATTTGCCAGATGAATATTAAAACATTCTTACTAAATATTTTTGGGACTTTTTTACCCGTCAAAGTTCGAAATTATTTTATTTCGACAATTTTTAATCCGAATAGAAAGCATTTTACGAAAAAAATGTCAGTGAAAAGGTGTTTAGAATGGACTAAATTATAGACTTGATTCTTTGTAAACATTTCTAGATTTTAGAAAGAAATTAGAATAAGAATATTTTGATAGTCATCCGACGACATTTTATGACCCATTGAAGGAATGAAAAAAGGAAAGATAAAAATAAATCAAATGAACCTCTAATCTATGTATGTACATGTGCACGAGACAGTCGTGCGCAGACGACACGTGGACTGCTTGAGTTGGTAAATATAAGCGCAGTGTACGCTGGTTTGAAGCCAAACAATAAGTCAGTCATTCATCACAGAAAGCAAGAAAGTAAGCTGATTCTTGCAGAGCAAGAGTGAGTGCTAATAGAGAAAAGGAGCTTTTTTCATAATATGCATAACGATGAGGAGCTGAAGAGCCTCGTAGAGGTCTGCGGCAAAGAAAACAAGGCGCAGCCGAGGCCAATCTTGCTGTGTATAAGTACTGCGGCGATGCAGTGCTGGCTTTTACGTACGAAGCTCGAGACTCGCTGCCTACGAATCCAACGAAGAAAAAGTAACGCGTACGACGCGACAAACAAATGTCAAAGAGAGTTTTAATGCGTGACTGCGGGAAGTCATAAGGCGAGCGAGCTCGAGCTAGCTGACATTATACACCAGACGCGCAGCACTTGCATATGCTCATTATACTTGCGTAATGTGTGTATATGTTTGTGTGCGTGTGTGTGTGTGTGTGTGTGTGTGTGTGCGTGCGTGTGCAGCCGAGAACTAGAGCTGCGCGCACCTGTATGCATGCGCGCTGGCATCGACGACGAGTGGTCGAGTTGCGGCGCTTTAGAAAATTAAATAAAGCCAACGTTACACAAGGTATATCAAGTTAAAATAATAATGTGCGAGCGAGCTTTGAGTGCAGTAGTACGCATAAAAGCAGCAGCAGCAGCCCGTAGCAACTCGCCTCTTTCGCTGCGTATAACTGAGAAAAACGACGAGAAGGAGGAGTAGGAGGAGGGACGGAGAGAGCCGAGCAGTCCCCTGTTGCTTGTTGTCACGTGCGCGACGTTTATGTAGGTATTACGTTGTACGTCGAGACTCGTATACACCGCTGTGTATACCGACTCTGCGTCGCCTCGGCGTATATCCTTGCAAACGCGCCAACTCACGAGGATCTACGAGGCAACCCTGCATCTAATCCCCAGGCGTGACATCGAGCCAAGCCGAGCCATCTCATTTTTTTCTCCTCTTTTTCGAGCGAAAGGCGCGGGGATGCGCGTCGCGCAATATTACAGATTATTATTAAAGCGAGCGCGCGAGGCTCGACGCGATACCGATCGAGCCAGTCGAATATTGGCGAAAATTCTCGATCGCTCGCTACCGATTGCCAGCTGTATCGAATTTCTTATAGCTTAATCGATATAGCTTAATCACGCACTAGTTTATCGTACGATAGAAAGTTCAAATTCATTCGTCGTCTATCGAGAGGGGAAATAGCCAATGATAAGGCGATAATTTCGTCAACTTACTTGTGATGTCAGGCGATGGCGTTGGTATGATTCCTTCTCGACTCAGTGATGAGACTGTGAGGAGGTCGGCCTGGTCAGTGGCCAGAAGGACCACGAAAATCACGAAGCGTTGCAATAGCGCCATAGTCATCATTGCCATGTTGTTGGGCTTTTGCCTCGCGTCGAGGCAATGTTGACGATGTAATAATGACGCGTATCCAGGAGAAGAAGAGAACGACTCGCTCCCTTTTTCAAGCCCTTGGACACGATCGACGAGTACAACACACAGAAATGAAACTTAGTCTTGCGGTGGTGTGAATCGCGCACTGTAATCGATGTTGCTTTCAAGTGGTAATTCGATTTCTTTTTTCGAGTTCTTAAGTGGATGTTGGTAACCACGCGACTAGGTTATTTTGTGTACAATAAGCACGAGTCTCCCACGAGTGTAAATTATCACCGTACAGGGACGAAAACAGCACAGGACACTGCTGAGGACGAAGCACGATCACTCGGTGTAGTTGAGGACGGCTGCAGCATAGCTGACGGCGGTGGCGACGACAACGACGACGACGACGACGTCGGAGCTGAACGGAATCGGGCCTCCATCAACATGAGGATATCTTGATAATACTTTGAAAAACAAAACGCAATTCGATCCTTCCTCTTTCTACTCTGACGAGTCAACGAGTTTTACGAATATGAACACTCGGCGTGGAATGACGGTTCAATCCAAGCTTGAACAGCTTGCTCCCTTGCGGAGAGCTCGCGCCCGGCAGCGTCGGCGCTGGTCAGTGCTCGCTTCTCGCTTGGTGACAGCTCACGCTTAACTGAAGCCTCGAGCCAGCTCGAGTCGCAGCCTATCCGACGCTGCTCGCTGCTATCTCTGCTGCTTGCGCGCAGCGCCGCGATCGCCGCGCAAGCCCGTCTCGACTCCCTTCCCTCCCGCGACGCCTCGACCGCGGCTCGCTGCTCCTCAGCTGCTCGAGCTTCCAATTTACCCACGTGCTCGTGCGAGACCTCAGCCAGACTTGCGACTCGCTTTTATAATAGCTATATCTACGATTCTTTTCCTCGATACTGCCTTGTAGCTCTGTTTAATTGTCGCGCCACTCTCTCTAGTGCCTGTGTACTCCAACTTTTACGGTCGATGCTCCGACGACGCTGAGCTACCATCTCATTTTCTACGCAATCTTGTATTCGCTGGCTTTCGAGAAATTCGAATTGGCGCTACTTTTAAAATCCATCTTGACCACAAATTATCGACTATCTTTTGATCTTTTTCATACCTACGATCCGTTTGACCCGAGTGACTCGATAAGTAAAATCAGATAACCGCTAACACCGATACCAGCATATATACACAGTGACTTGACTCAATGTTTGTCTTTTCTTTTTTCTTTTTCTCACCTTTTCACAAGTCAACGATTGGTGCAAAAATATAATATGTATTTTCTTACACTTTTATAACATAAAACTCTAGAAACCTCAATCTTCCTGATCCATGTAATCTTGCAATCTAGAAATCTTTGCCTTATAAAAAAAAAGAAAAAAGAAAGCAATAAGACCAAAAACTTCTTTATTAACACACGATATACTTTCTGGAGTAGTTTAAATACTTTCACGGCCTATCCGTCAATTGATCAGTTCTAGTGCTTTTCCGCCCCTAACTTTTTTCTGCGCAAAAGGATGAGAATAGTGAAGAGGATCCACGAATTGAGTCCACGTGACCGACACTGAGTCATGTCTCAATATTCAAGTGTACTGAGCCAATAAAAAGGTTCAACTATTGTTTTGCATTTACTGATAACCATAGCGAAGAAAAAAAGAAATGATCAAAATGAAGTATACATTGATTGATTATATGACGCTTTTAATTTGAAATAGAGAATGCGGTAGCACTTTGCCGAGAAATACAACAAATACAACTAGCATGGAAAGATAATGGATAAAAAGTAATCTGACCGTTCATTGTTTTATGTTCGGTATTTTTTTAGTTAGCAGACAATTTGTCGCGTACAATAAATATATTAGCTGTGCGCAGATACTACAAAATCCATTTTTATCAGGCTAAAAATTATCACATGAAAAGAGTCAAAGCGTGAAACAACCGATTAAGAAATTAACAAGTCGTTTCCGCTTCAGTACTGTTATTCTTAATTATACCAACGCGATAGCAAATACACTCTAACAAATTTAATTTAAATATTTGCTTTAAAATGTATTTCAATTTCAATTGATCGTAAGTTACAGTCATGAAACGCTTCCATGTATACCAAAACGAATTCGTCCGACTTGAATTGTCAATTAAAGCCTTGGAAAGCAATTTTCAGCGTCAAAAGGGCTCGCTCGTTCTGGCTAGGCAATGAAAGAGCTACGCGTGTATTTATGCAATTTGCATCGCTGCTTGGGCCGTTGGAGCCGTGTCTCTGCCCGAGGCGATTTTCGAGTCTTTACTCTGTCATACAAGTCCACCCGCTGCCGCTGACCAGTTCCAGCGACTGCTAAGACGCTACGCTCCGCTTCTCAACCGCAGCTATCTCATTCCATTTGTATTATATATGCATTGATAAGGATAGCCTCGTTTGCTTCGAATGTCCTAGCTGCAAGAGCGACATAAAAGCAAGACTTCGGTAAAAACTTTATTCACTCTATCTCGCGTTTAGGCGATGCTCCAAAAATAATATCTTTTAGTTAAAATTTTTTTTCATATGAATCAACCCGATGCTCAAAAGGATATCTGAGAATACATATAAAAGATTCGATTAAACAATCCCACTATTAATCGTCATTTTATATTCTGCGATGGATTTGCGTAAAACTTAACGTGTAACTAATAGGATATAGCGAGAAAATTTCATGCAACTTGAGAGCTGCGTGCGTGCACCCAATGAATAAACATGATTCCGAATCGATAACATCAAGAGTATTGTGTATGGTTCGCGACCATTAATCTTCATATAAAGTGTGCACGTAAAATGCCACAATTATAGTTTTTCTTCTTTTCACGTACCTCAATTAATTGTTACACATGAAACGTCATATACTGATATCGTTAAATTACAATCGCTCGACTCATGCATTAAGCAAACATACACCTCTCTTTTCCTTACCCAAAGCTTTATCGAAAATTTTTAGTCCTATGATTAAAAGACTGACTCCAGAGATAAGGCTATTATACATCAAAGGGGTTATCAGCACTTTGATCGTGTCATCGAACGTAGCCATACTTCGAGTAATGCTCACAATCTCTCGTTTTCCTAATTTTACTATTATTTACGTTAAATTGACACGAAATTAATTAGCTCTCACGATAATTGATGTTGCGTAATATTTTTCAGTCGTCTTAAAGTTACTTAAATAGTAGTATGATTGATATGACTCATTATAATAAGAAACGTTTCCACGTTATCCTCTGATCGCAAAAAGGTAGAATATACCTTCAATCTAATGATTAAAATTTTTCATTAAAATGCTAAAGATTTTTTAATATAAAAGAAAATATCTTTGCTGGAGGTAAGCTCACTATGATCGAGACAACGTACTTATAAAGTGGAATCGTATAGTTTTATTACCAGTAACAAGATTATAAAGATTAGATATTATTCAATAAAATAACGCTGGCAATCAACAAGAATGACAAAATTGTATACGCTTTTCAGTCGTTCTGAAAAAATTAGCAGACGATAATAATTCACACTATATTATATTCGAAACATTAATTCTGTTCCAAATTTAGTTATTGATCATATTTATGTAAGAAATATAAAAAAGCCATGATATGCTATGAGCAGATGATTCTCTTCCTGACAAAGAGATTGTACGGCTAGCTGTAACTCAATGAGCATAAACTGGATAATTTAACAACGTTCTCGTGTGTTCGTTTTACAACGCAAAATCTAATGTATGTGTTTAATTATGAATTTGTGACTTTGACACGTATCTACAAATCACATGTACAAACGATTGTTTTTGCTTTGACACTTGAAAATCATAGTTTGATTTTTTTATCACTTTTATCATTTCAAATTCGTTGGGCAAGGATCGTGTTTTTACGCATATGATAAATTATCAAAGTCGAGCATCAACACGTTAAATCGTTGGAGCTATTCGTCCGATTAAATGTATTTAATAATTTGCAAAAGACTTTCCGAGCTCGTTACAGGACCCGAAACCTTTCAAGGCTATCAGGCGCAGCGTACGCGCCTGTATACGAGCTTTTGAAAGTTTAATCAAACATTAATTTCAACCAATTCGTATTCTCCTCAACAAGTAAAGTTGAACTTGCTCCCCCGTAAAGTGTCAAATTATACATGTACAGCTCTGGCGCGCATATGTGTGCGCGTGTGTGCAGAGTATCTGCTTTTATGTATGTAAGCGAATGCGCATACATACGATGACATTCACACAAGCCGCCTATAATTATGTAACATTCCGGCAGCTGAGCTGCGCGCGACTTTTCCAGCGACCGAGAAGAAGTTAATTACAAACGTGACGTCGTCCACGTAGATGGAACATTTGCCTGCTGACGACCGCGCCGCTTGACGTCGAAGGAAGTATTGCCTAAGTATATGTAATGCATCCTGATTTGGCTTCGCAGCTACTCGTAGTAAAATTTAATCACCCGAGCTTGCGAGTAAATAATGTATATTATGTATATGCATGCCGCTGCCGACATTAACGCCGCGTTTCGTGGATCGTGCACACACCTATCGGTATAATAAAATTTAATCGCAAGGCATATACGCAATTTTTTATGTATATATAGTAGTTCAGTGCATTGTCAATCGCTAATCGCTATTATTGCGATAATGAGAATTTACAATATTTTATCAATCTTGCGGCGAGTTACATTAAATAACCAACGTAATCGATCGATTAAATCTGCTCGTATGACATATGCTACCAATTAATTATTATTGCTATTTTTTTATTATTATTTTTAGCTATCAAATATTGGCTACACTTGGCCATTTCTTGTTAATAAACCAGACGTGAACCGCTTCGACAGGGCCACGAACTGATTTGACTTGTGCATCCTAGCGTGTGTTTTGCAAGCGCTTCATCTTTTTTTTAATTCAAGATTATTTACATCTTCAAAAGAACATTTTAATTATCACAAATTTATGAATAATAGCTTTTTAATGAAATATTTCTTTAAGAAGAACTAAGTGATGTAATAATCTTTTCTTATCTTTCATGAGTATTCAAAGAGTAAGAAAATGTATTCAATGACAATTTTTTATATTTCATTCAGTATTCTTGAAATTACGTACATGGAATTTTTTAAATAAACCTGCGCACGAGATCTCTAAATTTTCCCGAATTGTTGCTATTTTTAGGATTTATCAAAAGAGGTTGAAAGTCACGGATATTAGTTTTTAAACGATAACGTATTCCTAAAATCAATGTGGACGTTTTCTTTGTATGGTTTCTTAGCGCAATATTTTTTAGCGCAAGCTTTTGAAAAAAAATTGAAATTTTTAATTATTTTGTATTATTTCAAACAGTTTAAAATATCAGACTGAAATATTTTTTTCTTCTTTCTAACTTCAAAAAACATAATCTAATGTTTTTTGAAAATTGTATATCTTTGAACATAGATTTCTTAATTATTAAGTTAAGAAGATTTATCAAGTCAAGAGAAGAACCATTTTTATTTACACCACGGACGTGCTGAGTCAATTTTGTTTTTAATTTTTCGAGCTAGTTTGGATAAAAATACTTGGATGACATTAAATTAAGCATTGGAATGTGATATCTTGATATTTCTTTCGCTAAAAAGTTTAAACCAAACTGTGGTACGTGTAATGTTCAAACCTTAATTCCAAAAATTTAATCTTTAACATG